TGTAATTAGGTCGCCGTTCTCTTATAAATATTAATGAGTTTTTCCGAACCACCTTGTAAAAGGCAAATTCGCGAGCGGGGATCCTAGTGACGGGCAGATGAAGCTTCATGAAGCACTTAAGAGGCGTCACTCTCATTGGGTCGGGAAACGTGTTGCCGTTTCGAGACATTAAACAGCGACATCTGGTGGGCAGTAGACATTATAGCAGGCTGCCTGGAGGAAGAGCACCAACTCTTAAAACTACGCGCAGAGACGTGGACATCATTACAAATGTATCTTACATTAGTGTGAATTTCATAAACATTGTGTATGAAATAAATATATTTTTATTTATGTGGCACAATATGAAATAATTTTAGCTCGTTTATCCAAAGCAAATTACAGTAGAGGGAAGTAAACTTATGTGTGTTCTCTGGGATTTGAACTCACAACCATTGTGTTGATGGCACAATGTTCTATTAGCTGAGGCAGAGTGAAGAACATAGTTACGGAGTTCAGAATAGTTGCCATCTGTTGGGAAGGGGCAGGAACAAGCTGCTTCTGTCCTTTACCTTGTACGACTATTATGACAGACACTTTAATACACTGACACACTTATACATTTACCATAGTTTGACGACCACTGAAGTAGAATGTTGTATATGTGAAAATGTGGATACTAAGTTTATTGTACATGAATGCAGAAAAAAAAACAATGCAAAAAAACCTGGTACCTTCTTTGCAAATAACATTTACCTTCTAGGACAATATGATTTCAAAATGTTCCCAAATAGTACAATTTTTCCTCTTTATTTATTACCCAACAAATTACCATGGTGGCACAGGTGGGTCCAGGTGGTCCTTGGCCCACCCTGAAGGAACTCAAGCCTACCCATTCAGTGTTCAAAGCCAGCAATAAACGATTGTGTGTATGTGTGTGTACCTACTTAAATCAATTGGAGGACATGTGCTGTTGAGAGGCCAATAGGTTTTTCTTTCCACTTGTTCATTTGGTTTTGTAATGCAACAGGTCATATAAGATTGGATAAATTTTTTTAGTTGAGTCTGTAGTGCGATCTTGTTGCCAAGTAAATTGTTATGGGACTAGACTACCTGTGCTATGATTTCTGACTCAACTGTTGCCAACAACTACTGAAACTCCATCCAGCACTGACGCATAAGGGCACACAAAGATTCGCTTCAGATTGACACCTCAATTGTATCGGTCATGTGATGCTTCTTGAAACAATATGTACTTTAGCAACAGTCATCATCTGTATTCGAAACACATTTCAGAGTATCGGTACTGAATGAACCACCATTACCAAAGGGCAAAAACTGCCGCAGTCTGGTCTGGAAATTTCCACAGTCGCCAGAACTCAACCGCAATAGTTTCCTGTTGTGATATAGACGAGTGGGGAAATAACACCGACTGCTGTACTTTCCATGTTCCTTATTTCGGAGCATGTTGCACTTGAGCCTGCTTCGTGGCAAACTAGCCTCTTAGCTTCAACCCTTGAAACTAGGACACGAAGGGTCATTGCCAGTCTCTCGGTAATGTCAGTAGGCGTATTGTGCGTAGACTGATGTGCAATAAATGGACGATGGCGACACACCAAATGATCAAATCTACCTGCTGACATTCTAAAATATCCGAAATGCATCTCCAGGGTTGCCAACTTTCGCGCATCAGGCGTGACACTCACGCTTTCAGACAAATCAGCTACATCAAAAGCATTGGGGTAGTTTTGAAACCCTACAGACTATTTACAATGTAATAATGAAATGGCTGCATAAATGTAAATATGTGTTATTTGAAAAGTATTAAGAAATATGTTTTATATCAAGTTATTTTACGTTGATTTCGCCTTTCACTTTCTTTTTTTCAGAACAAATAAATTTCCAAGTTGTCGTGCGTCTGTCTTCATCACTTGTACTCGCTTGTTTAATTAGTAAATCTTTCTAGAATACAATGACACCATACCACATCAGTATGTAAACCAGGTGGC